GGCAGGTAAGAGACTGCATACAATAGTCTTGAAAGACAAGTGAAACATTTGAGAGCGGCATCTTTCAAACTGTGATACCAGCCTTTAAATCTTTTTAGTATTGATAATGCCCAGTAGACAACCCTCTCTCTTTATCCTGTGTGCACAAAGAAAAATTCTGTCTGATTAAAATAGGTCTGAACATGTACAGTGTCTCTTAGAGTGCATCATGGCAAATCTCAGACCTGTGATGAAATGCTTTACATTCCCTTAGACAGAAAGACATCTAAATTAATAGATTGCAATAAGCATTGACTAGTATTGATTTGTATTCAACCCTATCCAGGACTAAAATCTTTGAGAAGATTTTCCATCACTCCATAAAATGTATATCTCTTGATTATTTCCTCTATTTTATCTGAACATATATTTAAGGAATGTTATAAGACCTTGAATAACCAAAGCTGGCCAGCTATTTGGTAAGACAAGTCTACTCTCCATTGGCTGATATGAAAATTTGGAGATGCTGAAAGCTAAAGTTATCCATTCCTGTATGTCAGTTAGGAAGAAGTTGTGTTTCATACCAGAGTATAATATCTGATTGAATTAGGCATTCCATGCCAGCTTTTGATTACTTGCTGTACATTGCATGAGAAGACTTTTTTCATAACCATCCTTGACTTGGCTGCTCCCCATCCTGATACCATAGCATCTGGTGCTTGATGTGCACTTACTTGTTTTTCAGCTATCTTCAGCTTTATGATTGTTTCTGTAAGGATGATCTTATTACTCTGCTTTATTTCCTCATATAAGAGAATATATGACTCTGTGGCAACAGATTTCAATTTCCCACTTTTCTTCCACATAATTATTGCTATAGCTCTAACTTTTCTTACAAGCTTAAGAAAGTAGCTATGAAAAGGAATAGAAACAACAGTGCCATCTGCAGATTTGACGTGACAGCAGAAAACAAAAGGTTATATTTGGATGGTTAACAACACATTTACAATGGATTAAGTTTCTGTTTGCTTCAGTGAAAATTCAGTCATTAACAGATTGATAGCCCTCTTTTAAAGACATAGTTGTCTAGGCATGTGGACTACATATGCTTTACATTGAGTCATGAACCTTCTGAGTATATGAGTTTGTCCATCTGACAGATCCATGACTGAGCATATTCTAATGAATATGAGCATATTCTAATCTTCAGACTCATCACTGTGTTTCTTTTTTTTTTTTGTCATGCTCTGTCAGACATGTGAATCTAGTAAAAGTCATTAAAACAAAATGTGTTTAACTTTATTGACACTGATGAAGCAGACCAATAGGTCAACAACTTACATTAAGTACTGACTTCCATTGACTAAAGTCTGAAAGAAAAAAATTCCATCACACAATCTTACCTCAGTTCATCCACGCCTTTGCACTTGGTAGAAAAAGAGTAAACAAATGATGTACTTAAAAAAAAACCACCAACTGAAGCCAGAGATCAGTAAATTATGTCCAAACACAAAATTCTAGAGTCATGTAAGAAGTCGTAAGTATACACACCTAGTGGCATCTAGACTTCCACATACTAAATCTTTTACTTTTATACACGTGAAGCATCAGGAGTATAGCAGCAGTGGTCACAAACCACAATGGTGAGAAATTTTACACTCTGTCACATGAATAAATCTTAGCTTTTTATAGTTGAATTCTGTGTTTTAGCTCATCTTTACACAACTGACGTGACCAAGTGCCAGTCCCTACATATACTTGACTATGGATGGAAATGTATGTGTGCACATTGGATCTGTAAAGGAAGTATCTCCCTCTATACAGCTACAACTGTAGAAACAGGAGCAGACGTACAGCAGAAAATAGACCTATCTACACATGAAAGGAAAAGATGTCAAGCTTTGTACGTTCAGATGTATACGAGAAACATTGTATTCATTCCACTTTCTAGTTGTGCTTGTGGTCATCCAAGACAGACCCAGCTAGATAATAGGGGGATGCAACGCCAAAGAGCCTGGAAGGAATGGACTATTGTATTTGACTATTTTCCATGTACAAATTAGCACAGCAAAAGAAAGAAATCCTGCAGAAAAAACACACATACTTTATTACAGTTCTTAGGGTTACTTCTGTAAATACCACAACAGCAAGAGAGAGAGCTAAAAAAAACTGTTGGAAAAGATGGAAATAACAAATGCAAATGTGATTAAATGCCCTTCTGACGTGAAGTGACTTGAGTTCAAGTTCAGATGAACACATGGCTGGTTATGGTTTTGGCTACATTTCCTTTTAGTTGAACAACTGTGATTTGCTTGTGTTAGGCTTTTATTTTTAAATATTTATATATATTAAAAAAAAATATAAGTATATAGAGGCAATATAAATATAAAATATAACATACATATTTAAATATATATGGAATTTTAAATATATAGAAATGTATTTAAACCATTAGAAAGGGAAATCTTAGGAACAGAATGTCTGCTTTCTTCTGTTTCTCCTTGAAGTTGTGTGCTAGTATGTCTGCAGCATGAAGAAATTCACAGAGCAACAAGCAAAATTTTCCAAATACCAGGACCTATCTTGGAAAGAGAGAAACTGTCTTTTCAAGTTACTTTCAGTCTAATGCTACTTTTTCAAGACAGGTGTACCATGTTATGGCTCAAATTTTCAAAATTAGCTGTGAAAGTACCTAACTGCCATTTACATCGGGGAAACAGGGGTCTGAGTATGGAGTAAGTTCTAGAATACTTAACGAGTAAACTACGGGGGACTAAGGTCCCGAGACCTTATTCGAGCACCACTCATACTGAAAATGAATATAATTTCTCCTGAACAAGGTTAAGAACCCTAATGGAGAAGTGAGCAATACTCACTACTGCAGCACTCCAGGCAGACTGCCCTGAAGTCAAGGGGAACAGAGATGTTGTTGCTGATACTGCCTGTAAGCTTGTCCACTCCCTTATATAATGTGTGCATGTGTCTGGGCTATGCATCTTCCTTACTGAGGCAAGGATGTCGAGCAATTGTTACTTTGCTCTACAGTGTCTTACTGAGAATACAGGAACATGTGATAAATTATTACGACTAATCCTGGAAATGCTTGTTACCTAGCCTTAGAGCTTACAACTATGAACTTCTGCTGATGTTATTAGAGCACTGCATGACTACTGGCTGCTTGTTTTGCTCAGTGTAAGACAGAGGTTTTAGAGAGATGCGAGGTGAAACACATAAATCCAAATGCTGATTGTTATAGTTGTCAAACTCACTCCACCTACTTGACTAAAGGCTAATAGCTATAAGGCCTCTTTTCTGTCTCAAAAACATCCACAAACATCCTACCATGCCCTGTGTGAACTCATGCTGCAATAAACTGCAATAGTAACATGCACACCAAGTTATCCTACAACTTATCTCTATCCAAGCTCTAAGTCAAATTCTTGCATGTTTACCTAACCTCCTGCTGAAAGAAAGTGAGAGATTTTCCTGAGTATGGAAGGAACAAAAGAATGGCCTGATTAAAAAAAAAAAAAAAAGTTAAGCTTGCTTCACATCACTATTCTTAAGGCACAAAGAGATTTGGTGGGAGGTGTGTGTGGGAAATCTCTTGAGGCAGAGTAAGTCATATGAATACAAAATAGTATAGTATGGAATATAATGCATAATAGTTGGCAGCAGAATGCACCATTTATTTTCATGAATTAGGGACTAAGAACTTAATTCACAAGCAGCAGATTGAAGTACAAATGTTATGAGTATGAGCTTAATATGAGGCCAAATCCTGCAGTTCTTACACAGCCTTGTTGAGTTATATGCCCTGTTGATCTTCCCTAAATTAGGACTGCATGACTGGCTCATAATATATTACACTCATCAGGTTATAAGCTTCTAATTTTCATAAATGAAAGAGAATCTATGCTAACTTTATGCCATTTTGTGTGAATTCAGTATTCTAAACAGAAAATAGGCTTTTAAACAAAATGAAACTTTAAGATCAATCCAGATAGATCTAGTGATTAATTAGTATTTAGTGATTCTCAATTCAAAAAGTTGTGGGTTTTTTTTAATCATATGATAATTTTTAATAAGCAATTCAAATAGGGTTATTCCAGTGTTTATGTCCCCCTGTGGCTATTAAAAAAATGTGCTAAGATTAGTTCATAATGATTACCATAGATCATTGTATACAGACAAATAAGAAGACACAAGCCAAATACCCAGAAAAAGACAGCATATATATATGCCAAGATGATATGGTGTCAAATGTGTGCATAAGAATATTCTTACTGAAGATTTTCTGATAGCAAACATACAGCCCATACTTATAAAATTGAGTCAAAAATGGAACATTTACTATCAATCAAAGAGTAGAGCTACAGCTCTCAGCTACAGAGCATCCTATCTGGATAATCATGGGAAATATACAAGAAAATCATATAGTAACCATCAGCTTTACAGCCCTGACGTATACCAGATATCACATTACATATCTTCCAAAAGTTGGTATAAACTTCTTGTAACGAGTCACAGCAGTAATGAGGGCTCACTTAAGCTGGCTGCAGGAAAAAGTTCAATACATGCTGTACAAGGTTTCTCTGCATGTACACAACTGAAAAAATATTTTCTCTTTTCCACTTGTATTTTTTTTTTTTATTATTTTTTTTTTTAGGAAGGAAGAAAATTCCTGGAGCATTACAGTGTGATATAGTTTGATTTAAAGAGGGGAGAAACAGCTCTTCTCTAAAGCCAGAGCAGTTAAATCACCATTCACAGGTCGTTGCTCTTCAACTTTATAAAACTGATGCCAACATCAACTTCTTGGTTCTACCTGCAGCAACCCACAGTATTAAGGCTCCAAGCCTGGAATGCTTTAGAGAGGATAAGATTTACATGATTTGCTCAAATCAATCTTTCTCAAACTGCAATCTTACAGCTTAAAACCGTACCAATCCACATATATACACACAGATACAGTATCAGCTGCAAGCAATACATTTTTGCAGGAAAGAAATGGAATTTACCAGGACGAGGAAAGCCAGAAGCAGGGTGCCAGCAGTTGTCCAGCGGCAGCCCTCCATGGCTGGGTCTGTGCCGGCCCTGGGGTGGGACACCGCACAAGCTGCGAAGTGCTCAGCTGCCTGTTGTCACATCCAGCGCTGGTGCGAACCTTCAGCCCCGCTTCTCCTCCTCTATCAGCCCTGCTCACATTTCCTGACCCAGGCGTGGGTGGGTGGGTTGGAGCTGCGGCGAGGCGCTCACCACGCCGACGAGCAGCCAATTCCCCTCCTGCTAGTCAGACATGCAGCACAACAAAGCCAAGGGGTCCGGGAAAGCATAGCAGTGAGAGACAGAGGGGAGCTAAAGAGAGAGAGAGGAGGAGGAGGAGAAGAAGGAGGAGGAGAAAGGCAGAATGGCACAGCTGAACGGAGTGCTCTGCCTTCAGCTAGCCACCCTCCACGAGTTCTGTTCCACCACTTGCCATTAGCTGCTCGCGCTTATTGCTAGGTCAGTAGGAGTCCTCCTGAGTGTGCATTGCTCCAGACAGGAGGGAAATTTAATCTGTGTCAATACATAGCATATGCCATAAAAGGCACCAAAGACAGAAAAATGCTCTCCGGAACCGTTTTATGCCATTTGTTTAGCAACAAGGGAGTCTGACTCTGCTCTGAAATTTTCAAGCATGAATTTTTCTAACAGGACAAAGTTATAGTCTTTCTGCCACTACTTTTTTCTTCTGGGGGAAATTAAAAAAAAAAACAGCAAACAACCCTTATTCCCTATCAGAAGGAAAGTAAGCTTACAGGAGGAAGAATTTTGCACAGAAAGGCGAAGATCCACAGATTTCAGGAAAGCCAGGAACTCTGTCTTTTAAGTATTTAACAGATAAGAGTTTCAAATCACTGCTCTCATTCGGCTCATGATTACTGCCTATCAACCTGCATTGTCTGAAGTCTCCAGCTTTTCTTTTGTGTGTCTGTTAATTTTATTTTCTGAAGTAGAAATTGCAGACTGGATCCAAGAACTCTTTCTCAACATGACAGGCACTCTCCCACATAGGGGCGAGCTGGACATCTCTGGCAGATGCAACATTATGGTGCTGAAGAGCATGCTACATCCAGATGGACATGTAAAAAGCCCTGTCTTCCTAAGCTCTTGACTGTGGTACGTAAGTAAGCTCAGGCAATGAAGGAGAAAAATAATGTACATGTGTGTTAGGGGTGGAGAACAGATTGCTAGCAATGAGCCTGAAAACTGGCTAAAGTCAGAAGCTAGCAGAGGAAAGCAGAACTCTGCCAAGGGCGCCAGGACTGGGGACTGAAAGGAAAAGGGAGCAAGTGTAGACTACAGACCATTTAAGAGAACTGCACAGCAGTCGAAATGAAAAACAGCCTGCAGGAAAAGCTGGAAAAGCAGATGGAGAGTGATACAGAGTTTGCAAGGGTGAAGGAACTGAGGTGACATAAAGGGAGTTACGTATGCTGAGAAATCAGATAGGAGGGAAGAAGAGGGTCTGGCTTGGCATAACAGAATCAGGAACATAAATGCTAAAGACATCTGAAGGCCAAGATAGAAAAGAGATAAACTAGAAAGAGCTGGGCTTGGGAAATGCAATAGGCATTTTTCCTCACGGACTTGGGAAATTAATTAGGCTGAAGAGAAAAATTTGGAATAAAAAATAAAAGTAGTTAGGAACAGTGGGAGAAAGAGATTTCAGCTTGCAAGGGCCAGAAGTGTCTCGGTTGGGTACCTTTGGACTTGTCAGGCAAGGAAACAGGGACAGGAAGACTGAAAAGGCTCAATGGGAAGGGGCTACAGTGAAAAACCAGCTAGTTTGACTGAATGTAGCAGGGGTGAGGAAGACCTAAAATGGGTACTAAGATTCCTCTACTATCAGTGAGTCCTTTATGAGTCCAAAACCCCTTACACAGCAACTTCAGAGATCACCTCCCAGAAACAAAGGGAGGGATGAACAACGTTGCACCACCTTATGGCTCAGAAGAGGGAAAACTCAGGAAACCAAACATACGAATCCATGAAAAGGCTATTGTACCTTTTATAAATTACAACACCACCATCACCACACAAAGTCCCCAAATTCTTTTCTTCATCAGCAGTATCAATACACACATCAAAGTTGTACAAAAGGATTTTTTCCACACATCTCCTGACCACTGTTACGTCTTTTCTTTTGTACTCTGGTCTTTTGCCCCAAGAACAGTGATGATATGATGATTGCTTTATTTTTAAGAACCAAAATGCTGCAATTGCGATCATGTGACTTACAGCGGATAAAATAACTCAGAAGGACATTTTCATTATATGCTTTCCTTTTTCTCTATACCACACCCACACCCCCCCACACCCCCATGTAACACTACATGAGCTCATTTCAGATCTCATGATTTTCAACATTTCTTGTTCAACTTTGGAAAATGCGGTGTTTTTTTTTTAAAGGAAATTCTGGAGATTCTTCTTATCAGTACAGAAGTCTCAACAGCCAACTAAATCATCTAGGCTGGAATAATTAGATAATACATTGATTCCATGTATCCTGCCGTGGTTCTGCTCATGGACCTCTCATTGCAGCTGATGGGAATTTTGCATGGAGAATGATGACAAGAGAAGGAAGCTAATCATAGAATAATATAGGTTGAAAAGAGCCTTAAGATCATCAAGTTCAACTGTTAACCTAATACTGCCAAGTCCACCACTAAAGCACATCCCTAAGAACCACACCCATCTAAATACCTTCAGGCATGGTCACTCAGCCACTTCCCTGGGCACCCATCTTGCTACAATCTCCATTCAGATAGTTGTAGAGAGAGAGGAATAAGTTCTCCCCCCAGCCTCCTTTTCTCCATACTAAACAATAGTAGCTCTCTCAGCTGCTCCTCACAAGAATTGTTCCCTAGAATCTTCACCACCTTCACTGCCCTTCTTTGGACATGCTCCCACACTTTAACGTCTTTCTTGTAGCGAGTTGAAGATCTTGCAGTAATGTTACCAAAAACCTGAAATGTTCAGACATGTTGAAAAGGTGTTTAGCTATAAGGAGCTTTGTTTATTCAAGATACATGTTTAATTGGGAGCAGAGCAATAAGATGTTCATAATAGCCTTATAAGTTTTACAAAATTCACCAGACCTGACTTTGTTACACATTTAAAATTCATGCCAGATTCTAAAATGCAGCTTGCATTTTGTTTTCACAACAAACTCAATGCAAACCCCATAATTTTTTTATGAAACCACATGAATACAATACTTTTAACAGTTCGGTTTTCAGTTTTCTGCACATATTTGAACCTAGATATCAAAGTGAAATTCAAGGAATGGAAACTCACATGAATCAATCTAAAGGAAAGGTCTACTCAAATTCTTGCATGTAGTTTTAATAAGTAGCCATGCCCAGTGTCTGCCAATTTCTACAGTGCAGTGTTGCATCTACTTAAAGGCTCATTTGAATTATTCTGAACTGAAAAAAAATGAACTGAAAAAGAAGTATAGATTTATGGAAAAATTACTTTAAGTCATGAAGTGCCTTCAAGTGTTCTGGAGCTTAACATTCCTATATACCGCTGTTCAGATCCATGGTTTTGTTATACTGCACATATGCATTTTGCAAGGAGTAAATCTATTTATCTTGCTGAAAGGTCATTCTAGATATGGAACACTAGTTTGGGGGTCGGTGTATTTCTTTTTGGGTTGCATATATACTAAAAGATAAAGCATATAGTAAGAAGGAAAATATGCCCTCCTGGTAAGATTGCCCAAAAGGTGCAAAGCCCCAGGCCCTGTTCATCTCCAAAATTTCTCTGTCATGCACCCTAAATGAATGCAAGAATTCAGAGCAATAAAAGACTTCTAACTGCAGCAGAAGTAATAGCTGAAACTTCAAATGATGTGTTAGCTTATATGAATGGTGACTACTATGCCCAGCAATTTGTTTCACCAGTAATAGAGAGGTTGTTGTCAGTAGAATCCTATTGCTACAGATGAAGTTCTGAGTCCTCTAAGATCATTTGCAAGATTGATACTGGAGGTTGGTGAGTCCAAGATTGCATCCAATATCACCGTGCAAGTTATACATATGCAAATATGTCACCTTCAAACCCTGATAGTACAAACATAAGCCCTTCACCATCTTAGGGGAGAGCAAATGAATAAATACATGCTACTCACTGTCCTGAAAATTACCCCTTCAGCTATCTGAACTGGTCATTATTTCCAGTTCTTCACCTCCGCCAGGTCTTCAAATTAAATCTGTGAGCAGAGCTGGTTATTGACGCTACACCTACGACAGATTATATGAATGTAAAGCAAAGGACAGTGTCTGAAGCAGTGTTTTAAGCTCTACAGATTTAACAATACTTGATTTGGAAAACACAGGTCTAGGCAGAAGAAAATTGTTAACATCTATATACTTTGTAGCAGGAAAGAGTGAACTCGGGAGCTCATCTTCTTGGGGATAATAGGTGACAGTTTTCACTCAGAAGCCACCTGTCTCCTTGAGGTTGGACCTCTCTATTTTTCATCAGGTCTGTAGGATTTTTTATTCTTTTTATATTTTCAGTGAACAGTTTTGGGTTTTGGGGGGTTTTTGGTTGGTTTTTGGTTTTTGTTTTTGGTGTTTTTTTTTTTAATGAGCCTGCGTTGATTTCTGAAAATCTGGAAGCTTGTACAAGCAGAGTGAGAAGCAGGAGGAAGCCTATGCTTTATAAGAAGCTTTAGGTAGGATTTGTATTTACATGTGTGTGTGTGTCGTGGTTTAAACTCAGTCAGCCACACAGCCGCTCTCTCGCTCCCCCCTCTTCTTCCTCCCCCTTTCTCCCAGAGGGATGGGGAGGAGAATCAAAAGAATGTAACTCCCACGGTTGAGATAAGAACAGTCCAGTAACTAAGGTATAACACAAATCACTACTGCTACCACCAATAACAATAATGATAAGGGAAATAACAAGGGAAGAGAATACAACCACTCACCACCCGTCGACTGATACCCAGCCTGACCAAGCAGTGATCTAGCCCTTCTGGGTAACTGCCTCCAGTTTACATACTGGGCATGACATGCTGTGGTATGGAATACCTCTTTGGCTAGTTTGGGTCAGGTGTCCTGTCTCTGCTTCCTCCCAGCTTCCCCTCCTCTCTGGCAGAGCATGAGACTCACAAAGTCCTTGGTCACAGTAACCATTACCGAGCAGCAACTAAAAACATCGGTGTTACCAGCACTGTTCCCAGGCTGAAAGCCAAAACCACAGCAGTGCACCAGCTACTAAGAAGGAGAAAAAATGACTGCTGCTGCTGAACTCAGGACAGTGTGCTTGTGTGTGCCTTTGGTAAATGTGAAAGAAACTAGGAAAAAAATTGTAAGGACTGCAATATGCTGTACTGCCTAGGTAAAACTCACCCAGGTGTATATGACCTGTGATTATGAAAGCAGTTTCCTGAAAGTTTAAGGTGCTG